GGCTCCTAACTGCGAGGCCAGCAGTTTGAAGTCACCAGCCGCCCTGTGGGAGAACTATGAGGCTCTCTGCTCCCATAAAGACTTAAACCCTCTGAAATCCACAGAGCCAGTTCTACTCTGTCCTATGTTGTTGTTGTTGTTGGGTGCCATTGCGTCAGTTCTGACAGAGCTATCCACTGTCCAACAGAATGAACCACACCCAGTCCGGTGCCAGCCTCACAGTTGTTAGTTAAGCTCATTGTTGCAGCCGTGGGTGGTGTCAGTCCATTTCGTCCAGGGCCTTCGTCGGTTTTGCTGCCCCTCTGCATTCCCAAGGCTGATGTACTTCTCCAGGGATGGTCCCTCCTGGCAATATGTCCAACGTGCATGACACAAAGCCCTGCCATCTTCGCCTCTAAGGAGCACTCTGGCCGTACTTCTTCCACGACAGATTTGTTTGTTCTTTTGGCAATCCACGGTACTTTCCATGTGCTTCTCCTGTGCCACAATTCAAACACACCGATTCTTCTGTCTCCTTGAAAGTTGAAAGTGTCCAGCTTTCACATGCATATGAAGCAATGGAAAATACCATGGCTTGGGTCAGGTGCACCTTAGTCCTGAGAGTAACATCCCTGCTTTTCAACATTTTGAAGAGGTTGGTTGTAGCAGATTTACCCAGTGATCTCTTGATGGCTGCTTCCATGAGCATTGGTTGTTGATCCAAGTGAGATGAAACCCTTGGCAAATCTGATCTTTTCTTTATCCTGATGTTAACCGTTGGTTCACTGGTGAGAGCTTTTGGTTTTCTTTACATTGAGTTGTAATCCATACTGAAGGCTGCAGTCTTTGATCTTCAACAAGTGCTTGATAACCAGCAAGGTTATCATTAGTATATCACAGGCTGTTAATAAGCCTTCCTCCAATCCCGAGGCTGCATTCTTCTTCACCTCTGATTATTTGCTGAAAATGCAGATTGAAGAAGTGTGATGAGAGGATACAACCCTGACATACACTTTTCCTGATTTTAAACCACGTAGTAGCCCCCTGTTCTGTTCACACAACTGCCTCTTGTTCCATATACAGATTCTATAGGAGCACAATGATGTATTTTAGAATTCCCATTCTTCTCAAGGTTATCCATAGTTTGTTATGATCTACACAGCCTAATGCTTTGGCATAATCAACAAAACACAAACAAACATCTTTTTGATATTCTCTACTTTGAGCCAAGATCCATCTGACATCAGCAATGATAGCCCTTGTTCCACATCCTCTTCTGAATCCAGCCTGAAACTCTGGCAGCTCCCTGTCAATGTACTGCTGCAACTATTGTTGGATGCTCATCAGAAAATTTTCACTTGCATGTGCTATCAATGATCTTGTTCTAGAATTTGCTCATTCTATTGGGTCATCGCTCTGTGGCATGGGTACATATGCGATCTCTTCCAGTCAGGTGGCCAAGTAGCCGTCTTCCAGATTTCCTGGCACAGATGAGTCAGTGTTTCCAGGGCTTCATTGGCTTGTTGAAACACTTCAACTGGTAAATTCTTAGCAGTTCCTGGAGCCCTGTTTTGGTCAATATTTTCAATGCAGCTTGGACTTCTTCCTTCAGTGCCATGTCCTATAGGGTTTCTATAAATCAGAATAATCCAGGCACTGGGATTTTGTCTTTTCATTTTTACCTTAAAATCTGCCCTTCTCTCTCTGAGTAGGCACCGTGTACCCACCTCAGTGATTCATTATGTCCAGGTGAAGGGCTCTGAAGAGATGAGAGCCAGCTGGGTGTTTCTCTACCTGATGTAGCATCAGGTATCTTTTCCTAAAGGCCTGAAGTCCACGGGTCCCATAGCACCTACTATGTTTTATCACCTGGCATCTCCCCTTAGACATGTCTTCGTAGTGTCATAGCACAAGGCCAGCAGGTTATTGCCCAAAAATGTCACAGAGGACAGTGAATCATAGTGTGTGTATGTGTGTCATAACATAAAATATTTAGCACAACACTTGGCCCACAGCTGGTAAGTTATCAATAAAGCTTGTGTGTGTGTGAGAGTTAGTGTGTGAAGTATTAATAGGTATAAAGCATTTAGCATAGTGCCTGACCCTGAGGTAGTAAGTTATCAGGAAAGCGTGCATGACTGTGTGTGTGTGTGTGTGTGTGGCTCATAGAGGGTAAGATAACAGTAAAGCTTCCGTCAGAGTGAGTGAGTGAGTAAGAGTGAATGAGATTGTATGAAAGTGAGTACATGAGTGTGTGAGAGAGTGAGTGAGCGAGTGCGTATGAGGGAGTGAGTGAGAGTGTGAGTGAGTTCGTGCGTGTCGTGCAGTGCCTGGCTCATCGATGGTAAGTGTCAGTAACGCTTGTCCACTAGCAGCAGCAGTAGTGAATGCCAATCACTAATCATCAAGTTCATAAGGTATGTCTGGTAGATAGTTCAGCCATCCCTCTAATTATTAGTTTAGTCCAGGGGTGTCAAACTGGTGGCCCGCAGGCCACATGTAACCCCTGAGGTAACTTTTTTGGCCCACGATGCTCTGAAATAAAATGTAACGAGGGAATTGTGTACACAGTATTGCCTCGATCTCCCCTAAGTGCTATTTTCTTCATAACAAAATTTTTCTATTTTCGCTTTATTTCAGAGCATCATGGGACTTAGAATGTATCCTAATTGTATATGTTTTTGTATAGGTCAGTGTTTCCCAAAGTGGGCAAGACTGCCCTCTGGCGAGTGGCAGGAGCAGGGGGAGAGGGACACTGGCACAATCCAGGGCCTCTACAAGAGCAGACACAAGCACTGTGATCCTGGAGGATGGGCGACGGTGGCACACACATCCTAAATGGCCAAGTGGCACGTTGAGTAATGGTTTTCCTGAAACGGGGGCAGAAAGGCCACAGAAGTTTGGGAGTACAGGGAGTCATGGGCCAAGTACTTATTTCTGACCCTGTTTACTTGCTAGAACCGAGGGCAGTTGATTGTTTCTAAGGTACCCACTTCTAAGCGCGTGACATAGCCACTAAGAGAAGAACCACTTCAAGGAAGGCTGACTGAGTGTCCATTGATCAGAGGTCAATGCCAGGGCCCCACATATAGCGTCTGTCCTGGAATCCAGGCCCTTGGGCCCCCTCCCCTGTCCACCACAACTTCTGGAAGCCAATCACCAACTGCGAGTCAGGCTGGTGTGCCTTCCAGAGGCGGTCGCACCAGGCGGCCCAGCCGACTGCGTCCACACAGATGCTCGGGAGGCCCAGGGCCCTGCTAGTGTCTGGCAGTGTTATCTTTCCATGTCACCTTGCCATTCATTTCCATCTCCACACGTCCTGTCGTCAGACTCAGAATTCCTTCTGGAAATCAGAATGAGGCCATCACCATTCTCCCCCCAGTGCTGTCAGCAGAGGGGTTCTGTCCTTGCTACGCTGCAAGGGAGGCAGGAGCTGGAGGCTCCTGTTCTGTTAACCTCCCTCTATATGCCAGCTTTGAAAATGAGATTGTGAATTCTTTTCCTGTCCCACAGGCAAGACTCAGAAAGCCGGCCTGCTACCTGCCAAGTCACTGACGGAGCCCAGCTTGCCGTCCTTCAGCAGGAAGCAAGGTGCCCACCCCACGCTGCCCTTAACCAAGTCAGTGGACACGCTGCAGCCTCGAGAGGAGGAGGGCCGGCGGGCCAGTGGGCTCCCTGCTCATGCCTCCACCAGCGGCGACCAACCCTGTACCACCGGGGGCATAAGAAACCGAAGGAGCCTCCCTGTGTCCATGTGCCGGAGCTGCGAGACCCTCGAGGGCCACCAGCCCGTGGATGCCTGGCCCCGGTCCCATTCTCTGCATGACCTTCAAGGAGAGCCTGAAGCTGGACCAGCCGTGCCCGGTGGGGCGAAAGGAGGCTCCCCGCAGACTCTACCTGCAGTGCCACAGAAGGCCCCCGCCGCCACTACACAGCCCTCGGAACACGAGCCTGCTGCAGACAATGCCTCACTACTGACCCAAAGCAAGAGATGGTCTGAGCCCCAGAAAACCACCCATCAGAAAGCCGAGGGCCCTGTGGCCGTCCATGGCCGGGGCCCAGTGCCCCCGCAGTATTTGCCCAAGAGCTATGACACTCAACCCCCGGGAGCCAAGCCCGGCTTCGGGAGGACACCCCTCGAGGGTTACAGCAAAGGGCCCGCTCCAGAAGGAACAAGCTGTCCCCCTGGGACCAAAGACGGGGCCGGTGCTGAGCAGAGGGGCCCCGAGGCCAGAGCTCAGCCCAGACACCCTTCGCAGCCTCCGCCTGTTCCTGCCAAAAAGAGCAGGGAGCGCCTGGCCAATGGCCTCCACCCCACACCTGGTGGCCATGGGGGCACCCTGCCCAGCCCGGACGCCCCGGACTTGCCAGTCAAAAGGAGCAGCCCCGCCAGCCCCGCCGACTGCCATGCGGCCTTGGCCCCCAGGTCATCAGCTGGGGACCCTGGCAGCCCGCCCAGCACGAGACCTCCGCCCTGGCTCTTGGAGCTCCCTGAGAGCATGAGCCTGCAGGAGCATGGGGCACGGCTGGGCCTAGCCCTGACCAGGAAGGTGTCCTGTGCCCGGGCCCTCGACCTGGAGATGCTGATGGAGGACAAGCTGCAGGCAGAGGGCATCGATCTCACCGAGGAGCCGTACTCCGATAAGGTACCACCTGCCTGGACCCAGCCCACGGGCCTGTGCTTCGGGAAGCCAGGCAGTCTGAAAGCCACCCCCTCCGACCGGCCCCGCGAGCTAAGCTCAGATCTCGCAGCAAACACCCAGGAGGGCAGGAGTTTCAGTCCGAGTTGGTGTGCTTGGTTTTCATTCTGAGCAGCCACCACCTGCTGCCGTCCAGGTGTGCAGACTTGGAAACCCCGTGCTGGGTGCTGTGCGCCCGAGAATCAGATTTGGTTCCTCCAGCAGTGCATCTGGTTCTTGAGGGTCTTTGGACTTGGCAGGGTCCCTGGGAGATACAACTCGTTAGTGCTCCACCCCTAATGGAAAGGCAGCCAGAGGGGCCTCGGGAGACAGGCCTGCTGGTCTGCTTCCAAAAGGTCAGAGCTGGGCACCCCCGTGCAGCAGTTCTTCCTGCACTCCTGGGTCACCAGGGGCCGCTGCGCCCCAGGGCAGTGGGTTTGCTTCGCTTTCTGCGCTGCAGAGAACTGTTGGAGTCGGTCCCTGGAAGGAGAGGCCCGGGTCCAATTTTCCTTTATTGCAGGTCAGACCGAGTTTGAGAGGGCGGCCTCCCCTGCCTCACTTCCCCTTTCGGAAGAGGCACTGAGTTACAGTCTGCTAACACCTGCCAACTCTTTGGCTTCGTGTCAGTTCTCCTCAGAGCCGCCCTGTAGGACAGGGTAGAACTGCCCCTGTGGGTTCCAGAGACCCTAACTCTTTACGGGAGTAGAAAGCCTGGTCTTGCTCCCGAGCAGTGGCTGGTGGTTTGAACTGCCGACCTAGTCGTTAGCAGCCCAGTGTGTAACCACTACGCCTCCAGGGTCCCCCAGGGAGGGAGATAAAAAAGGTGTGAGCTTACTTGGAAGACTGTAGGACACTGCTCAGATCCCGCAGTTCTGTTGTACAATGAATTGTATGGCTAGCAGAGGTGGGAAATAAGACGCTATAAAATGCCCTGCCCCTACCCAAAACATTTGATCTCTAATAAATCTTATTCCATTACGGAGGAAGGAGTGTTTATCCAGCAGTCCCAAAATGACTTTGAAGACATGATAATAGTTGTGGCTATGCTTGGCTCCTTGAAACACACATCTCTGTCTTGATATAAATCATTGGGCTGGTAACCACAAGGTGAGCAGTTCAAGCCCACCAGCCGCTCCGAGGGAGACAGAGGAGGCTGCTTTCTCCCATAAAGAT